GCTCTATCCAGTCGGAGCCGCAGGGGAGCGCGCAGGGCGAGGCGCCCGGAAACCCAGTCAAATTCGGCCCCGCAGTGTCCGGGCTCCCAGGCTCCGCCGGACCAGGGGGCCCAACGGGCGCCGAGGGCGGTTCCGGGCGGGGAGCGCTGCTCGGCCTAAATGCCGGGAGTCCGGGTCGCCGCGCGGGTCCCCGCGGTGCGCGCCGCTCCCTTCTCCCCAACTTGGGCCGCGGGCCTGAGCCGCCAGAAGTGCGGGTGGAACCGAGGAAACGGCCTGAGCGCTTTGGGGCGGGGGAGGGCGACACCCAGTGCCCCTTCGCGCACACTCCAGGCGGGGGCTGCAGCTCTGCTCTCCAGCTCTGCTCTCCGGCTGTTGACATCTCTGGGCCCAGCGCGCCCGTTCGTGGGATCCCGGACCTAAAGGGCTCGGGGCTGAGCGCGCACCCCACAATCCCGGCCCCCTGGGGTCAGGCCATTGTGGGTTCGCGCAGCCTCGGGTTTCCCGGGGCGCCCGGCTCCCCCTGCGGCCCCCGGGGGCTGCGCGGAGGCTGCCCTGGGCCTCTGGTCTGCGTCTGACAGCCGCCGGCCCGGCAGCCATTTGCACAGGGCTTGGGGACGCTGAGATTTCCACCGTCCTCCCAGCGCCAGCCTCGCGGCGGCGGGACCTCTCCCGGGTTGCGCGCAGAGCAGCCCCGGACACTTCGGGACGCCTGGGGAACCTGGGGAACGGCCCAGGCCGCCGCCCAAGCAAAACGTGGAAACGGGCCTCGCCGCTGCCTCCCTGGAGGGCCCAGCCTCCGAGCCTGCGACACCGCTGCCTGGATGCTCCGGGGCCCGATCGCCTGAGCTGGCACACGAGGGGGACCGGGTCCTCCGTGTCCGGGGACGCCGCAGCCTCGCTCCCACTCTGGCCCAGCTGGGAGAGGCCGGGTTGGGCCTGGCTCCTGGAGAACCCTGGACAAGGGGACGGACGGCCGTTACCCCAGGTTCTGGGACAGACGCCCGCCCGCCGGTGGGAGAGGACGACGTGTGCTAGATGGTGTGACCAGTGTCCCCAAAACTCCAGCGCCCAGGGCTGCGGACCTGGGAGCCAGGCCACTGCGCGTCCTGCCACCAACAGCAGCCACGCGCCTCTGGCCACTGGGAGCCCGAGCCCCGCAGTCTTTGCCTCGTGTCTTCGGACACGGTCCCTGCGCCACCATGCCTGACCCTCCGAGACCCTCGTGAGCAGGCAAAGACCTAGAAAGTACCCGACGCGGGGACGCGGGCCTGGGCCCAGCTAGGCGCTGAGCTGGGGACGTTCATGTCTTCCTGGCCCCCTCTTGGTATTTTATTAACCAAGCCCCAAACCCTTTAAAATTTTTATGAGACCCTCTTCCTGGAACAGCTCAGCAAAGGCTGCAAAATTCCAGAGCTGCAGGCCGGGGTGGAGGGCAGAAAGGATTCCCCGACGTGTTGGACGCAGTCAGTCACCCAGGACAGAGGGCTCGTGAAGGAGGGTGCCGGGCTGTGCTGCACGCCTACAACCGGCCGGAGCCTCCCCGGGATCCCCGCAGCCGTCCTGTTCGGTCCCCTCCCTCGCACTCTCCCAGAGCTACGCCGGGAGTCCCCGCTAGCTGCGGGCCTCTGGAGCCCGGGCCGAGCGCCGCTTGTCCGCCAGGCGGCGCTGCGGAGCCCGGCAGAGCGCGAAGGGGACTGGGCGCGCGCGCCGGAGCTAGGTGGGCGTCCCGGGACCCCGCGGCGCCTCCACCTTCGCGGCAGTGTCTGCAAGTCCCCTCCCTGTCACTCCTTTCCTGCTGCGAACTCGCTCCTGCTCTCCTCCACCCGCTCTGGGTCTGCGTTCTTTTTGCCTAGTTCCCTTTCCCCATCCCAAAAGGCTTGGCCTAGGCCTCGCGGGTCCCCCTCCCTCCGGGGAACTCCCGCCACCACCTGCAAGGCTGCAGAGGTCACCTTGTCCACCAGACTGGAGGGGACCCCCACATTCGTGCATTCGTTCACTGATTGTTTCCCAGCAGGCTGCACCTCCCCTGGCTGACACTGAAGGGAAAGCTGAGACCAAGTCCTGGAAGCCAATGGCGAAGCCACAGCTGAAAGCTCACCCTTTCCCCCACCCAACCCTGTCCCCACTTGTCCCTACGGTGGTGACACCGAGTGACCCCTGTGTCCTTGTGCTGCTTAAAGTCAAAATAAATGCCCATCAGGAATGTGTGCCTGAGAACGGGCAGCAGCGGGGTCAGCCGCTGAAATCTGTCACAGCGGGGACCTCGAGGTGAGCGCAGGCAACACAAATCCGGACACCTGTCCCCAGGCCACCCGCTTGCAGCTCCCCTGGGCACCCCGGCACCGCACTTTCTCAGAGGTCCTCCGCCTGCTCAGACTCGATACACCTGGGTGTGGTGCACACTAGGTCCCTTCGCAGACAGGACGGGGAAGGGTGTCAAAAATTCCTGCCCTTTGGAAAACTCATCAAAGCTTCCCGGAAGGTGGGGTCTGTCCCCCACCAGGCTGTGTGCACCCACTGGCTTGGGCTCCTCATCCTGGTGACCTGGTGGGGTTCAGATGGCTGCTGAGCCCTGGGAGACCTGCTCCGCACCTGTCACAGGCTACTTCCAGCCCCTTTGTCCTGTGTTATCCCTGCTAGGACTTGGGTTTAAATGTCCCCCAAAAGCCGTGTGCTGGCAGCCCATGGGCTTTCGCAGGTACCTGGATCATGGTCACTTTTTTTTTTTTTTTGAAGAGCGGAATATATTTATTGAGGGTAAAAAAAGCTTCTGTCCAAGAGAGGCAAAGGGGGCCCAAGTGGGTTGCCAGGGTGCCTGTCTTTTCCAGGATTTTTATAGAGCAAAACCACAAGGTCAGGCGGGTCCAAGGTGGAAAACATGGGAACTCTTGATAGGTGGGCATGAGGTGGGACAAAACTATGGTCAACCAATAAGATTACAAGTATAATTGTTCAGGTTGGGGTCAAACATCTTCCAATGCTTCGTGATGCACACTAAAGGAGTGAGAGACTTTGACTGTGAATATCCCCTGTCTCCGTCCAATAATCTCAGTGGAAGACCTCCAAATGACAGAGGGGAAAGAAACTTCCAACCTGGAAGATATCTGGGACAAGTTCGTGTTCTCTAAAATTGAAGAATGAATTTTAGGAACAGCAGAGGTTAACAGCAGAATATATTTATTGAGGGAAAGAAAGCTTCTGTCCGAGAGAGGGGCAGATGGGGGCCGAGTGGGTTGCCCCTCGTGGTCACTTTGTCAGTGCATTAGTTCATGGATGGATTCCTCACTGGATTTCGGGGAAGTGATGGAAACATAGGAGGTGGGTCACGGGGGCAGGACCTTGGGGACTTGTCCCCAACCCCTTCCCCTCTGGCTCGGCTTGTCTCTTCCTCTGCTTGCTGGCTGCAGTGAGGGGACCAGTTTTCCTCAACCACAACCTCCACCATGCTGCTTCTGCCTCACCATGGAGCGGCCGCCCGGGTTCAGAAACGGTGAACCAGAACAAACCCGGAGTTCCTTGGACACTTTGTCTGCAGGGCACAGTTCACACGAACCCATTCAAACCTCCCCGTTCCACGAAGTCATCAGATTCCTCACTTCACTTTTCAGATGAGGAAACTGAGGCTTAGCAGGGAGGTCGCCAGCTTGAGGTCCCACAGCTGGGGAGTGATGGAGGATGAGCAGGACTCAGGATTCGCACTCAGCTGCCCCTGTAATGATGCCTGGAGACCAGGGACTCTGACTCACTGGGGATGGGTGTGGACATAGTGGGTTTGTTTTAAAGTCTTTGGTGTTACTGTTTTTATTATGGACCCTTTCAGATACAGAACAAGAAAGAACAGTGTGCCAGGCTCTATAAACCCATCAGCTCATGAGTAATCTCCCAGCTCCCTACCCCTCCAACTCAGCCCCTCATTTTTAAAAAATGAATGCAGGCAACGTGTCATTTCACCTCCTTGGGTGTTTGTCACATCCCGCCAGGATTTCAGCCTGTGCCTGGGCCAGCTCCCAATCCAGGGCTCATCCGACTACCACTCTGAAGTCGGGCTTTGGTGAAGTTAAGGCCATTGCTCAAACAAGGAAGCTAGGGTTTGTGAATCCATCTCTTATTCCTTCCTTCCTCCCTCCCTTCCTTCTTCCCTTCCTTCCTTCCTTCTTTTCTTCTTTTTCTTTCTTTCATTCTTTCTTTCTTTCTTTCTTTCTTTCTTTCTTTCTTTCTTTCTTTCTTCCTGTTTGTTTCTTGAAACAGGGTCTCACTATGTAGTCTAGTCTGGCCTTGAACTCACTATGTAACCCAGGCTGGCCTCGAACTCACAGCAATCCTCCTGCCTCAGCCTCTCAAGTGCTAGGATTACAGGTGTCAGGTGTGCACCATCATGCCTAGTTCTCTCTGTGTTATGTGTGTGTTACGAAGGGCCTCACACATGCTCAGCACATGCTGTACCCCTGAACTCCATCTCCAGTCTTTTGCTTTATTTATTTTTTTTTTACACAGTCTTGCTTTGTAGTCCAGACTGGTCTTGTACTTGCTTTGTAGCTCAGACTGGTCTCAAACTTGCAATCCTCCTGCCTCAGTCTCCCATGTGCTGAGATTACAGGCGTGTGCCACTATGCTCAGCTCTTGTGAACCCTTTTCTATCAGACCAGAGGCGAAACCCTTAACCCTACTCGCGAGTCCCAGGGGTACTGCGCGTTCTCTGCCAGTATGAGCCGGGGTGCAGTGGGAAACCATGGCCGTGAAGTCTTTTAAGTCCCTGTCTAGGCAGCAGGGCCTGGTGTTGAGGATGAGCACAGATTTAGGGTCAGACCAACCTGACAGGCCCACCAGCGCCCCCTTCTGTTTGAGTTTCTCTGGCTTTGGTTTTCTTATCAATAAAATGGGGAGGCTGATAGCCACTGCTGAAAAGCTTCAAAGGAAATAATAAATTTGAGGGTGGGATGTGGCTCAGCGCTGGAGCGCTTACTTAGCATGGGTGAGGCCCTGGGTTTAATCCCCAACTCTGGGGCAAAAAATGAATTAGAAGTGCCTAGCCCATACTCTTACTAAAGATAAGTATCTTTCTTCTCTTCTCCAATGTCTCATTTCATTATGCCCAGTCTTCTTGCTCAAGAACATTCTGTGGCTCCCTGTGGCCCGGGCTCTCCATCAGTGGCCTGAAATCAGGCTTGTTTTGTCATCTTCCCCCTCTTTGTTTGTCCTCCCCGTGTCTCCCCAGTTCTCAGAGTCCAAACCCTCTGCTGGCCGGCTGGCTCTCATCCCAGCCCTACCCAATGGTGGCCGCCATGTGCTCCTTCCCTGAAATACCTTCTTCTCTCCCTCGCCTGGAAGTCTGTCCATTCTCACCCCTTCCAGGAAGCCCTCCAGATTTCCCCCACCACACACCACTCTTACCCTCGCTTTGCAGTCCCTCAGCACTCCACGAGAAGGCAGAAAGCAGAGGTATGAAGTTCCGCTGGGCCAGGGGTGAGGACCCTTGGTTTTGGGTGGTGCCCCTTCAGAGTTGTGTCACCAGGGACAAGTCATTTGTGCAACTTGCCTCTGTGAAACCTGTCTCCCAAACAGATACAGGGCTGTGTGTACACAGGAGAGCCACGCGTGGCTGGGGACACTACTGTTAATAATTAGCATCTGCGGCACACTCACGATCCTGGGCCCTCAGCTGTCCATATCGTTGCTACTGCCCCCATCTTGCAGGTGAGGAGACGGGGCTAGGAAGCAGTGATGTGTGTGCTAATGTCTCGCTGGTGCCTGTGCCTACAGTTTTGCCCTCCACAGCCTGGGTCTCACTGTGTAGTTCAGGCTGGCGTGGAACTCACCATGTAATCCAGGCTGGCCTCATACAGTGATCCTTCTGCCTCAGCCTCCCGAGCACTGGGGTGCAGGTGTGTGCCTCCACAGTGGGCTGAAACTCCTACTTTAGCTCTCAGGCCAAAAGTCGCCTCATTCTGGAAGCCCCTTAAACCCTTTCCACCGGGCCTAATGGCCTGCCTTTTGTTCCTGCCCATCCCATCCTCAGACTGGCCTGGTATATCTGGGCAGGTGGGGTCCTGAGCTCTGGGGGCGGGACTTCCTCCTAAACCTCTTCCGGATCCTGGCAGCCAGCGTGGTGCCTGAAACATAGCAGATGTTCAACCAGTGCTGGAGGGAAGGAGGGCAAGATGGGAAGACGTCAGAAAAGAAGCCAAGGAAGACGCCAGTGACTTTGGTTATCTGGGGGCAGAGGGTGCTCCCAAAGAGGAGAGGCTGGGAAGGAAACTAGCAGTGGCCTTGGAGGAACCTGGAAGGTTTTCACTCAAAACTCAGGAGGGCCAGGTGAGCTTTGATGCATGAGTTAGAAATCACATTCGAGGACAGTAACAAAGACACCTAGACAGTGGCTTAAGGAGGAGCAGTGTTCTCTCTGTGTGGAGGTGCGCAGTCCAGGCAACGACAGGCCCTCAGTCACTGGGGACACAGGTCCTGCAGTCTTCAGCTTTGCAGTTCAGTCTGCAAGTTTTATCCTCCAAGGAGGCTGCTTGAGCCCAGTTGCCATCACTTCATGCCAAGCAACGGGAAGGAGGAGGAAAAAGGATCCCCTTCCCTTTAGTGGGTCTTTTTGGAACCCACACAGCCCTCTGCTTATTGGGTAGAATCGTCACAGGGCCACACTTAGCTGCAAGAGAGGCAGGAAATGTAATGCTTAGCTGGGCCCACTGCTGTGTGCTGTCGTGAACTGAATTGTGTCCCCCCACTCCAGTTCACAGGAAGCTCTGTTCCCCAATGGGACTGTATTTAGAGAAGGGCCTCTAGGGAGGGAGTTAAGGTTAAATAAGGGCAGAAGGGCAGGACTCTAATCTGGGAAGATTTGTGGCCTTATAAGAGAGAGAGACCTCCCCCCACCCAACCATGCACAGAGGACATGCCCTGTGAGGACACAGTGAGAAAGTGGCCATCTGCAAGCTAGGAAGAGGACACTTGCCAGAAACTGAATCAGCCCCACCTTGATCTTGGACTTCAGCCTCCAGAATGGTCAGGAAGAAATTCCCATTGTTCCAGCCCCTAACCCTGTGCTTTTTAGCTTGGAGGCCCAAGCAGGCTAATGCAGAGGGCTCTCTGAATAATAGAGGCAAGAACCTGGGAGCTAGAGAAGATTGGCAGTGGCATTATAACCCACCAGTAGGATCACCCAGTACCAGAGGTGGTGGCCTTCCACAGGGCCCCTGGGCCTTGGCATTGAGCTATAACCCCAGATCTTTTAGTTTAGTTTAGTTTTTTTTTTTTTGTTTTTGTTTTTTTTAGATAAGGTTTCACTAGGTCAGTAAAGCTGGATTATAATCCTTCCGCCTCTGCTTCCCAGAGTCCTGAGATTACAG